AAGAAGAGCGTTCAGTTACTTAAAAGCAAAAAAGAAAGTAAAGACATGGACCAGGATTCCTGCTAAGGAGAAAAAAGAAGCACCTAGACATGCAGCATAATCTGCTAAATTATTTTAGATTTCTGATCAGCTCTGAGCACTTTTCGACAGACGGCAAAACCATAACACTTACGCCAAGGCAAATATTTTCCAGACACATTGTTTTAAATGTAAATCTTAATTTGGCTCATAGTTTTTTTTTTATCTTTTATATTTAATCTTATAATAGGAAAAATTAATTCAAGAGAAATATGGCATGAAGCAATTGTAGAGTTAGTTTTTCCTGAACCATATAATCTTCCAATCAAGATATAAACAACCTATTTGGAATTCTGAAACTTGAGAATGAGCTTCAGGAGACCTTCAAAAAACATCTCTAATAATGGGACTGACGGGGGAACCGGCTGAAGTCCCAGTTGACGATTCTAAGGGTTGAATTTGTTTTTGAAACAGTTTAGAAATGATGTCTGGGAAATGTTTTTGGAGGTAACAATTTAGCGATATACTTAATATATATATTTTTTCAGATGCCTCACCTAAGAGTTGTACTCAACTAAAAGTAAAAAGAGAATCTCCCACGTCCCTTCCCAAGGGGCCAGAACAGAGATCTTTATAAAAGGGAAACATTTCCTGTTCATTGCAGCTCCTGGACTTATCTGACATTTGATAAGAATGTGGTTGGTGTTCGGTAGACAGATCTAAGTAGCCCTGAGTTTCTTTCTTTTCCTTTGAAATTGTGAAAACCAGGCAATTATGTTTCCTCCTACCTCAAATTTAAAAAAATAAAATAAAATAAAAGGCAAAAACATTAGCCCTGTAATAGAAATAGGTTACTAATGGTTTATGAGGAAAAAGACCCTACTTTGCAACCAATGAGGATTTTATTTTAGGCTTTGAATTACAATTGCTGTAGGAATAGCATGTATGAAAGAAATCCCGACAATATTCTTAAAAAGAAAATACGACTGGAAGACATTCTATGACCATATTGGGGGAGTTCTAAGAAGTTTTGTTTACCAACTTCTTTGTGCAGCAAAAAGAAATTTCCATAGCTTCTCTTGAACCACATGAAATAGCAAAATAGCTTTTAAAGAAACATACAGAGAAGTGGAATGGGACCCTCCCATAGAGAGTTGAGGTTTTAAATTGTTAGGGGAAAATAATGCCTGTTGTATTGATAGTTATTTTTCTTTTTCAACACAGTTTTACTTTTTAATTTTTAAATTACAAGTTGTTAAAATGTTGTACATTTCTCAAATTTTATCAGTGTGAATCATTGAAATAAACTGAGTTTCTTTTTTGCGTGAACAGTAAGTTTTTATTTCTATGAGACAAATCCCCAGAAGTACGTTGCTGAATGGAATAACGATAGCATGGCTGTTTTTTAAGAAACCATTAAACTGTTATCCAAAGTGACTGTATGATGGTACATTCCTACTAGTAATGTATGAGTTATTCAGTTTCTCTGCATCCTTATCAGCACTTGGTGTTAGTTATCACTATTTATTAATTTCCATTTCAGAGCGAATGTAGGAAAGTATTAGTGCCTCTTTCCCCATCCTTATACAATTCTTGAGAAAGAAGTCACAATTACTGTCTCTTGGGCTCTGTATGGGAAGTCAAAGGGATGGAGGGTAGTGGGTCTCTGGTCCTCTTGATTTTCTGACCTTAGCCTCTGCAAGACGGGCTGCTGAGTCAAGGGCTATTGCTAAAGCAGGAGCTGTCACTAACTTCTGGTGTGTGACAGTAGTAATGGTGACAGGAAGATCCAACAGGCATCCTTGTTCCAATCACACAGCAGCCATCCTTCCTAATTGGGTCTTCAGGACACTGTGCCCTGGCTCCTTTAAGGAGTCCTCTTTCTCTTGCCCTAGAATATGACCTTGGCGGATAATACTATGTCTTTTCCATCCTCCAGTAGATACATTTCAAGGTCTTTCTGTCCTAAGGTATTTTCTAATTCAGCAACTGCAAAAAGTTGCTACATGAACATGATAAACTGAATTTTGCTTCAAGGAAGGACTCACTTTTTCTGTTTTAGGATCTTCATGTTCTCTCCCTTCCACGGACAAAGTCATTGCTGCCTTCAGAGTCATGCAAACAGGAAGTGTCTGACAGAGGGTTAGAATGAGTTTATCACAAAAATGTACCTATAGCTCACGGGAGAGTGTGCATGTTTTAAATAAGATTCTGCTTTGATTCTCCAACTGTAACTGTATATGGAGTGTTCCATTGCTCCCTTAACATAGCATTAACAGAGTTTCAAGTAAGTATCTTCATGAAGGACACATTAGTTAAAAATATATTTCCTTTCTATCCAGGACACTGGATATTTTTCTTCTCTGAATTGATACAGTTACAGAGCTGCTTGTCCTAAGTGCTAATTTTTTATTTAGTGCAGATTATTTACACAGTACAATATTTGTGCCCTGTGTCTTAATTCCCCTTTCATTAATAAAAAATCACATTTTTATTATTTTTATTTTCCTTATCCATTCTTGCTCATCAGGCCAGTACACAGAGAGGTACCCCTGATTTGAAAGGAGTGTATTTGGCACTGAACAACATCTTTTTTAAAGAGTTAGATGTTAGTAATTTGGGCTGAAATAAAATATTTAATAAATTAGTATATCAATTGAAGTTTATGAATTTTCCAAATATGCACTGTAAAATCATCTGTATGAACTCAAAGAATGGCAAAAAAATACATATGTATAGGTGGAAGAACATTCAGAAAAAATTTAAATCTATTTTGGGTTCAGATTTTTAAAATGAGAAAATGAAGTGATTAACTTACTGTAAGCAGCAACGTGTGAGAGCCCCATGTTCCAGTGACTATCCATCCTCCTGGAGCTGTGACTCCTACTGATTCTTACCTTATTCTATGGCTTTCATTTTCCCCAAATCCCCAATAAAACAAAATTATGCTCTGAAATATAGTGGTTTTTTTGGAATATGAGTAATTTTTAGAGATTAAAAAAAAAATCTCAAGCTCAAGAAAATTTAGATCCCTTGAAATACCTTTAAAAATTTGAATATGACTGTGTTGCTTTCCCCACCCTGGCCCCCTTCCCATGTGCTCACACATGCAGGACTTCAAATGAAAGGGAGGCAAGGAAATGGGAACAGGGACTGGGGAAAGGTGAGGGAGTCCGTGGCTTGTTACAATGGACCAAGAAAGGGTAATTCATAGAAGGTGGTGAACAGCTTCTCTTTTGTCCCCTCCCCTGCCTTTTTTTGTTTTTTGGGGCTAATTGAAGATGGATCAGTTTAAAGTTTTATTTCAAGAAGATTTTGTTTAGCTATGAGGATTATGCATACCTTTCCCAAAGGAGATTGTGGCCTCATTGGTTTTGGAATCTAATTTCTGGAATGCAAGATTCACCCCTCCCTCCTGCCTTGCTGGTACCCCTCCACCCAGGATTCTGTGGTCTGAGTTACCTTGGCTGGTGACACAAGGCCTACAGTCAGGGTTGAGTTTCATTCCTGCCCTCTCCTCTTGTTATTTGTACCCTTTAATCTCCATATGCCTCAGACTTCCTAAAATACAGCAGGATAAGGATGGAAATGTGCAATGGTGGCCCCTGCACTGAAACAATCTGTAAGCAGGTGACATTTTCCGGAGGCTCTTCACCCAGCTCTTCAATTTCTCCTGCAGTTGCCTTTTGAGGCCTGCCACTGACTTGGATAAAGTTGAGAAAAATCACTTCCTCTCTTGGGTGGCAGTTTTCCAGCTGCAAAATTAATTATCCACTTGCTTCCATCATAAGGTGTTGTAAGGGTCAGCGAGCTGGAGTTTGTTAAACTCGTCACCGTGCTAATCGGAAAGTTGTTCTGTTAGTACAGCTTTGTTTTTTTTTTTTTTAAAGTTCTCTTACTCTCCAGAGCTATTTAAAAAACCGAATGGACTATTTTAGAACATGTTTGCATTTCAGGCTCTTTAAAAAAACACTTCTTATCTATGGAAATGTTAGTTTAGAGAAGAAGTGAAAGGATTAAGTCATGGAGGCAGTTCCTCGGAGACTTGTTTACCATCCATCCATTCATTCAGTACCTACTATGTGCCAAGCACTCTGTCAGGTGTGGCAGATTTAAAGGTCTGTAGGTTTTCCCCTCTGAGGTCTCACAATTCAAAGTAGGTGACCAAGCACTGATTGCATGGCGAGAGGGGTGAGGAAAAAGCAAGGGAATATCAGGGAAGGAGTACTTACTTCTAATTACTGAAGGATGGCCAAGACAGGGAGAGGAATTTTCTTGAGAGGGAGCTCTATGAAAAAAGTCAGAGATCTCAAAACACTCAAAAAGAATTTGATTTGGCCTCATTCGACTTGAAAAAAAAAAACAACCAAATGCTTGTTTAAAACGACGTGTGTAGTGTCTATAGTGAAAAGAACATGAAAAGGAAGATATATACGTATAACTGAATCACCAGAAATTAACACATTGTGAGCCAACAATACTTCAGTAAAAAAATAAAATAAATAAACTGAGTTGAATTTTAAAAAAATGACACGTAAAACTTCCAGTCGTAATATTTGGTTAAACATTATTCATTACGAAGAGATAAAATTTCTCCGTCCCTTTGTCCTTCTGTCCCTGTGTCCCTGCATCCTTCCTTCCTTTCCCCTTCTTTGAATTTCCAGTCTGATTTTATCACTTGGGACACAGTGTAATCTCTGTCCTACCCTCTGTCCTTCCTTCTTTTTCTTTTCCCTTCCTCCCCTTCCATCCTTCCCCTTTCCCCCTCTCCTTTTTTTCCTGAAACGGCAGTCAGATGTTATCACTGGGTGTGATGTAATATCTCTGCCAGTTTGGATTGATGTCACCATCTCTGGGACAGCTCTTTAACAGACTTCCAAAGAAATGAAACTTGGCCTTTTCCGTTTATCCTGTTGGCTACAGGCTAGGGTCTGGTCCTCCTTGCATTTCTCACTTCTTCCCAATCTGCCTGTTTGTTTTAGGTAATGGGACTCCTGACCAACCACGGCGGGGTACCCCATCAGCCCCAGACCGACTACGCGCTCTCGCCTCTCACCGGGGGTCTGGAACCTACCACCACGGTGTCGGCCAGCTGCAGTCAGAGACTAGACCATATGAAGAGCTTGGACAGTCTGCCGACATCTCAGTCTTATTGTCCACCCACCTACAGCACCACGGGCTACACCATGGACCCGGTTACAGGCTACCAATACGGGCAGTATGGACAAAGTAAGCTTTGGACTTTCTAGGGGGTAGCTTGTCCTGGAAGGGTGAAGGCTTTGAACTCTTCCTTGAGAATGGGGAGGTGGCAGCAAGATTAAGCCTTCCGTCCCGGTATCAATTGTGCAGCAGAGCCAGCTGGTTGCTCCAGCAAGGGCTTCCTTGTATAATTATTTTCTTAACTGATGTCAACAACATCTTGCGGTTATTAATTGCTGAGACGTGAAAGCTGATTGCCACTAGGTAAAACACAAGGGTTGGCCCAAATGAAATAACCCCTGGCATTAGAAACACATGTTCTTAATGAGGTCAGCTCAAGGATCATATGGGGTATAATCCCAAAGACACAGAGTTCTGTCAAACTTGTCTCAGGAATAAAAATATTAGTCTCGATCCTTTGATACCCCGGTATTAAATATGACATTGTCAGCCTGTAGCTGATTTTGCCCCTTGCTGGGAATTGTCCCAGCCTGACCTGAAAAGCTGCCTGTGTTTTCTTACAGGTGCCTTTCATTATCTCAAGCCAGATATCGCGTAAGTGAACTGTCCACTTGGAGCTAAAACTGGCCCTGTTTCCGGTCTCCACAGCCTAGACATGAAGAATTTGCTCAGAAAAAAAAAAAAATCACCCTCTTGGGGGGCAGTCTCATCAGGAGACAAAGGAGAGTGATTGATTTTCTTTCTCCAGTAGTTGGTTTCAAATTCTTTTGAACGTGTTGGACAAAAGCAGTGGAGAAAAGGAAGACCCGGAACAATAAAAGACAAATGCAACATTTTAAGGCAATGATTTAACATGGCTACATATCAAATATCCCAACTCTTTAGCGCTGATGATCAAGGAGCTAAAACATTCCATTTGTGTGTGTGTGTGTGTGTGTGTGTGCGCACGCGCGTGCATGTGTGATTTATCTCGACTGGTTTGGGCAAGCAGACTGTTCTGAAATATAGTCAGAGGAAATTCGAAAGTAAAACGTGTTTGATGTCCAATGCTGACACGTCCACAACTTTAAAACTGCTCAGTCCATGAAGCGGGATCGGAGGAATCCTTGACTTCTACACACTGGAAATGGATATAAAAATAAATGCCACCATTTTTAGGAAGTTAGACTAGATGTAAAGGACCTCCCCAATAAATTATTTGTTATCGTATCCTCATTTGTAATTCGCTTGTCAATTACAGGTCCTGGGTGGACACCTCTTGTTAACAGGATGTGGGGGAACGGGAAGAAAAGCTTGTTTCCGCTCTCAGTGTGGGACAGGTGTGTGACATTTGCCCAATTTATTTGCATTTGGAAGCCAACCTGGGCAGGGAGTAGGGCGTGGTGAAGAAGTGATTTGCATTCCCACAGCTGCTTACCAGTGTGCAATACTGTGTACCTCACGGAGCTTTGGCAATGGCCAGGGCTATGGAAACAGAACCAGAACTCTTATTTTTGCAGGTGCTTTATTTTCGCAGCCCATGGTTCACTGTGGGAGAGTGAGTGAATGAAGAACAGTGATCTTTGCCATTTGGTGGACAACCAACACCCGGCTTGCTCCTTTTGATTAGAGACCATGTTCTAGAAAAATGCTTTTAAAATGACTACGTTTACATTCTTCTCTTTTCTATGAAAGGCAGGGCAACCACAGAAATGTCCACGTGGCTCTCATGCAGTTTTAAATTATACAATAATATCCGACATCAAAAGATTATAGGAACTGAGGTTTACATACGTTTGTGTGGTGACATTTTAGAATGTCAATAAATTTTGTTTTGAGATGTTAAGAGGAACAAGAAGGTGAAAGGCAGTGTTATTTATTTCTTGCTATTCTTGGAATCATGAACGAGGTAGACACAAATACATTCCTTTTAGAGCTAAGAACTATGATGTAGTGAGTTAGTGAGACTAGACATAGTACTGAGTTGAGTTCCTGCATTGGTCTTAGAGGGTGACGGATCGAGAGAAGAGCTATCTGTGCTGCAGCCTCAGCCAACAACAATGTGTTGTAAAAATGTCTTTCATGTAAAAAGTGCAGTAAATATTTACTATTTATAATGAATAAACAGTTATGAAAACTTGCGCAACACTGCTTTTTTGGGGGAACTGGTGAATGCAGTATTAATAAAAACTTGGAAATGGGGAACCAACAAAATATCTGCTTCACTTCTAGTGCCTTTTCGATCAGACTATCACATGGACGAATAAGGTTACACGACCCACACCTGTGTTCTCTCGAAGCAGCTTGGGTGGACATACTTGAAGGACTGAAGTTTGTATTTTCACGGATGTGGAGTCTAGAAAAGCCCCTCAAGCTCACCTTCCTCTCTCCTTGGTTCTCTTAGAGCTATCAGCGCCCTTCACTGGCACATGGAAGTGTGTTTTCCCACAGAGTACTTAATTCCGTCTTCATTGCCAACAGTCATATCCACTGAGATTTTTATTGAAAGTTCTTATGTTTTATTTTGTTTTAGAAACTTTCTTGAATCTTCATTGAAAAAAACATTGCTGCCTATTTTATCCATTTTTCCTCCCTCCCTCCTTTCTTCTCTTCCATCTTTTCCCCTCCCCTCTTCTTTCCCCTCCCTCCTTTCCTTTAACACTTATTTGAACACTTATTTATTTTATTTGATTTATTTTAAAATTCTTTAAAACATTTTATTTATTAATTTTTTTGAAGGGGGAGGTAATTAGGTTTATTTATATATTTTTAGAGGAGGTACTGGGGATTGAACCCAGGACCTTGTGCATGCTAAGCATGCATTCTAGAGCTTGAGCTGTACCCTCGCCCTCTAGACACTTAGTTAATGAGAATCTAAATGCACAGAGTGTGGTGCTTGGCTCTGGTGTTATAGCAGTACTTACAACCTAGTAGGCAAGGCAGAGAAGTAAACATATGGCTACAAGAAAGCATGAGGGCTCTTTTTATTGGGGAAATGATCATAATACTCTTTGAGGCTCTTATTTGTATTAACTTATTTATTCCTCCCAACATCTTACATGAGGCAGGTGATGCCATGAGTATTCTATGTGAGATTGCCCAGTGGCAGAGCTGGGATTTGGGACACCCAGGCTGTCCAACTTCAGAGCCTATGAGCTTAAAGTCACACTCTCCGCTTCCCCAAGGCCAGACTGGTATGAGAGAAACTTATAATCAGAAAGATCTAAAGGGGTGCTGCCTAGCTGTATGGCTATTTAAATTAAAAGTAATTCAAAGTAAATAAGTAAATAAAAGTAAAACAAATAAAATTAAAATTCAGTTGAACTAGTCACATCTCCAGTATGCAATAACCACATGTGGCCAGAAGCTACCATACTGGGCAGTGATTAAGAACATTCCCATTGTTGCAGAAAAATCTGTTGGTTGGTACTGATCTGAACCATGTGAGTTCATCTTTTAAAAATGATAAGGAGTAGACGTGCAGTAGATAAAAATGTCCAAATTCTTTAAATGCTTTAAGGTCTTTTTAGCACGCACATTCATCCTTCCAAATATATCGCCCCTTTTCTGACAATTATCTATCCCAAAAACAACACAAGAGGAAAGGAAGGTAATCCTTACTGAACACTGACTTTTGTTATCTCGCTTAATCTTCACAAAATCCTTGTGAGGGGGGCATTATTAGCCCCAATTTACAGAAAAATGGACTGAGGTCCAGAATTGTTCATTGCTTTGGCCAAAGTCACACATGGTCAGAAACTGCAGAAGCAGGCTCTGACTTCTGCCCAATCTGAGGGCAGAACTCATTATGATTTCACTGTTTGCAGTACTTACTTCATTATGTCAGTCTATTCTCATGCCAAACTCAGGTTGAAAACGGGCATTTAGAAGACAAAAAATCATTCACTCCCGATACACGAGAGACATGCTACCAGGATGCGGGATTATTCAATAGAAAATGATCTTATGTATCACTTTCCCTTCCCTCCTGATCTCAGAGCTTGCCGTGTGTGGCTCATCTCTCTTTCTGATGTACTTTATACCCTTCTCTTATTTCTGCATGTCTCTGAGATCTGTTGCTCTGCTCATATTTCTTACGTTGACAGTCTCTGTAGATCACTTTTTCTTTAACTTTTTTTTGTTTGGTCTAATCCATCTCCAGGGAAATGGGGATCTGACATCCCCTAGTCCTAACCCCAGTAGTTGAGATCCCTGCTCTCACGCACTGGGCCAGGCAGCCCTCGGGACTTTGACGTCTTGGCATTCAACTGAGTTCAAACCTGACTGTGTGCGAAGGGTTTCCCCTCTGTCCATGTAGTTATAGAATTTAATTCGAAAGCTTTAAATATAAAAACTGCAATTTAGAGTTTAAAATTATTAAATCGTGGATATACTGATGTCAGCGGACGGGTCATTCCTTGGCAGCAATTTTCCCAGAGATAGATATATTTTACATCTGTGATGGAAACAAACATATTGCTTTAGGCTTTTAATTAGCCCAATTTTGAAATGCACTTTCACACACACTTGGATATTTAGGGAACATCCTTATATTAGACGAGATGTTCATTAATGTTGGCATATGGAACCAGTGACATGGACCAGGTCACTGGCTCACGGTTGTGAGTTTAGAAAGAGACTTAAATGGGGGAGGGAGATGGATTAAATAATGCCCCTTTTGTGGACATGCTGTGGAAGAATCAATCCTGAAACTGCATAATTGTTGCATGGAGCCGGAACCAAGATCTCTGTAGAAGGAAATCCATTTTGAGGATGGGGACTTGGACCTCAACCATTCTGAGTAAATGATTTTTGGTGTTTAATCATTTATGGATAAGAAGAGCTGGCATCAGACCTCAAGGAGCAGAACAAAGGCAAGTGACATTTATACAAAGAGATCCACAGGCCAGCCTCAGCCCTGGACAAGCACTCATGGATCCAAACTCACTGTTAGGTGATACATGAGAGGATAGGAGGAAAGAGGGCTTGGTTTAGGCTTCTTGCCAAATGCCAGTGATGTAGGCTAGCTCCATCTTCTTCATAGATCCACTCTTTGACAGTGCTGACCCCTGTAACCCCAGGGCCTAGTGCCATGCCTGACCTGTAATGAGGACTCGGCACCTGTTTGTTGAACACATGAGCAAACAAGTGAATGGCCCTCTTATACCATC